TTCTTGCGATGATCGCAAGTACGATCTGCCTGTCCAAGATGGGCAGATCGTATGTTTTTTAAATTACTTTACAACCCTCGCAAGACAAAAGTCTTGCGAGGGTTGTAAAGTGTATGGCCACCTTTAGCTGACCCTGGATAATGATGGCATTGGCCTTTTAAGGAGCAGGGAATATGAAGGTATTGTCAGGAGGAATATTGTGATACCTGGAGGAAATAAATATATGGGTTTCTTTTAAAAGATTTTTAACATGAATGCATTTAAAATGAAAAAAAATAATAATAATATATATATATAGATCTATCTATCTATCTATCTTGTGGTTTCTATCTATCTTGTGGCAGCTCTTGTGGTTTCTTTCCTTGCAGGCTCTCTTTAACCCAGCTCCAATGAACTATCCATGTTTTCTCCCACAGGCCTGTAAACGTACATGCGCTCAGCTGAATATCATTGAGAACTGTGGCTGCAGTCACTGGGAATTTGCTTGTCCGTTGGATCTGGGGATTCCTAAGTGTAATCTCAGCAACACAATAGTCCGTGAGTCTCCTCTGTAAATTGGCTTTTATATGGTATTATTTGCATTTTGCATTGTTATGTGTCCTTTATATACCTTCTGGTGGTTAGTTTATTACATTCCTCTGTGTCATTATTGTTCAACCATCAGACCTTTAACTGGTCCTCACTTTCATCTGGCAGACCATGTGTCCAGCACACTCAGCAATGTTGCTGCTTATGTGAATTGAGTGACCATGACGCCCTAGGTACAGATAAATGAAAATTACCTTTCATAAAGAGGTTGATGTACAAACAATTGGCAGGACCATTCACTCTGCGAATATCTGAGAATGTTCATCCTGTGAAAATATATGCCCAATCGAACATTCATTAGTTTTTCCCTTTACATGTGTAATTCAATTTGAATGTTCTGATTGTAATGTTGTAAGTGTTTTCTCTACTCCTCAGCTTCATATAATGACCATAATGCGATAACACAATCAGTACGTTGGAATTTAATTACACTTGTACAGAAAAAACTAAAGAATGTTCGTTTGTGCTTATATTCAAACATGATAAATGTTCACAGATACTCACAGGGCAAATGGCCCTGCGAATTGTTTATAAAATAACCCCAAAGTCTTTATCACCTGGATACCAAGTATATTATATGACTGCTATCATGAAAATAATTATTAGAAGGCCTTATCAAAGCATGCTTGCTGTCTGATTTATAAAGTGTAAGAAATAAAGTTGAACTATAGCGTCCATTAACTCAGAGGTTTCATAGACAAAGGTGATGGCTGTGGGTTAATTAAGCTACAGAGAGGCAAGTGATTCCTCTGTAATCCCCATACTCACTCCCTTTCTCAGATCTAACAATGCAAACCCTTGAATAAGGTAGAAAACATTTCTGATTAAAAGCACTCAGAATAAAACAGAAACGTAAAACATACTCAGTGGGTCACACAATCAAATTGTAATGTATTGCAATGTTTGGCATTTCCCATTCAGGGCACCGTGATGGGGTCCCTTAAAAGTCTTTTCCCCTTCCTCTCATAACTACCGATCTGTTTGCCCGGAAATACCAGGTACATACTCTGGGATCATGTGACCTTCTCCTTTTCTCCCTCCACCAATGCATTGCATAGTGCCTGAGAAGCCAATTACTATACCTGAGCACTGTCACAATGGTGGTCGTGAGGGTTTTAGTGTCATATAAGCTCCAAGACCAACAAAGAACATTGAACTCAGAGCTAATTCAGGTGAACAGGGGAGAGGGGATGGCGGGCAAGGTATAAGTAGAAGAAGAAAGTGGTCTTCACCGATATTGGTGAGAGGACACCATAATCTTGCTCAAGGATCTCCATTTGTTAGCTATGACCACTCTTCTCTGCTTTATTCCAGGTGACTGTGTGAAGCTGTATGAATTTAAATTTGCTCACGATGAGTTAAACTGTCACTGCCCCCTACAGTGCAAGTAAGTTGCTTCTACCTGAACCTCAGGGGCGGGCATAGCATTTGTGTAGGCTGTGCGGACTGGGAAGCTGCACATTGACCCTTTGGTGGAGAATAAGCAGCATTGATACCTTAGATTCTGCTGCCCAAAATAGCTATATGCGCTGAAAATCTGGCCTAAGAATCAATGGTGTCTTGTTCAACATTGTAGAATGACACCTCCATTTAGAAAGTGATGCATAGTTTAGGTTGTGTGAGGAGCCTATGCCATGTAAAATTTAGAGGAGCACCTGCCTACGGGCCACCCCATGTAGTTGTGTGTTTTACCTATATTGGATGTACCCTTTTCCTCTCCCCCAGTATTTTTGTAAATATTCATATTGTCCAATGCCCTGTATCCTGTAGATTTTTGCTGCTTTGTTCGTCCAAGAGTGTCCAGAAGAGTAGACGTTTAGGTTCATTAAAAAGGTTGTAATTGCTATTGTTCACCCCCAAGATAAACAGTGCTGGCAGAGGCTGGCCACTCCGTACCTCTGTACAGTCATAGACATGTACAACTGAGCATCTCAAGTGTTCATATTTATAGTATGTGTGTGAACTGGTGAATCTACACTTAAAATGCAACCGAAGCCAAAACTTTATTTTTTTTCATTTTAGATAGATTGGAGAGAGATTAGAACCCCTGTCAGGTTTTTATTGCTGTCTGTGTCCCTCGTCAACAGGCAAGTCAATCAGGAAGCCGGGGGGCAGGTAATGGCCAGGAAGCCGGTATTGGCCAGGAAGCTGGGCAGCGTGTGATGACTCGCTGCCCGGCTTCCTGATTGGTAGGGAAGCTGGTCAATCAGGAAGCCAAGCGGCGAGTCATTACCTGCCCCTTGGCTCCCTTATTGGCCAGAAAGCCGGCTCCATGCTTCCTCGTCACTTAGTGATGGCGGAGCATGGAGCCAGCTTCCCAGCCAATCAGGAAACTGGGCGGCACGAGCTCCCTCCGGTCCCCTCTCCGCTGTCAGAATGCGGAAGTGTTGTATATTACATCACTTCCGCATTCTCGTGTCACTCTCCAGCTTCAGATGCTGGAGAGAAGCTGATGAAGCAGATCTCTGCTTCATCAGCTTCTTCAGTGGGGTCCTAGGTGACATTAGGGGTCTTGGAGATTTTGCGAGTGCGCGTAATTTTTACGCTTGACATGTTTGGTGTCTATTTACCCGACGTGACCCTGTCTTTTATATTTTACCAAAAAAGTGGGTAATATTAGTTGTTTTATAACATAATGTAAAAAAAAAACTTTTTTTTCTCAAAATTTTCAGTAATTTCTCCTGAATATAGTAAAAAATAAAACCCGCAGTGGTGATTAAATACCACCAAAAGAAAGCTCTATCTATCCCCAAAAAATGGTATAAAATTCATTTTCGTACAATGCACATTGACCCTTTGGTGGAGAATAAGCAGCATTGATACCTTAGATTCTGCTGCCCAAAATAGCTATATGCGCTGAAAATCTGGCCTAAGAATCAATGGTGTCTTGTTCAACATTGTAGAATGACACCTCCATTTAGAAAGTGATGCATAGTTTAGGTTGTGTGAGGAGCCTATGCCATGTAAAATTTAGAGGAGCACCTGCCTACGGGCCACCCCATGTAGTTGTGTGTTTTACCTATATTGGATGTACCCTTTTCCTCTCCCCCAGTATTTTTGTAAATATTCATATTGTCCAATGCCCTGTATCCTGTAGATTTTTGCTGCTTTGTTCGTCCAAGAGTGTCCAGAAGAGTAGACGTTTAGGTTCATTAAAAAGGTTGTAATTGCTATTGTTCACCCCCAAGATAAACAGTGCTGGCAGAGGCTGGCCACTCCGTACCTCTGTACAGTCATAGACATGTACAACTGAGCATCTCAAGTGTTCATATTTATAGTATGTGTGTGAACTGGTGAATCTACACTTAAAATGCAACCGAAGCCAAAACTTTATTTTTTTTCATTTTAGATAGATTGGAGAGAGATTAGAACCCCTGTCAGGTTTTTATTGCTGTCTGTGTCCCTCGTCAACAGGCAAGTCAATCAGGAAGCCGGGGGGCAGGTAATGGCCAGGAAGCCGGTATTGGCCAGGAAGCTGGGCAGCGTGTGATGACTCGCTGCCCGGCTTCCTGATTGGTAGGGAAGCTGGTCAATCAGGAAGCCAAGCGGCGAGTCATTACCTGCCCCTTGGCTCCCTTATTGGCCAGAAAGCCGGCTCCATGCTTCCTCGTCACTTAGTGATGGCGGAGCATGGAGCCAGCTTCCCAGCCAATCAGGAAACTGGGCGGCACGAGCTCCCTCCGGTCCCCTCTCCGCTGTCAGAATGCGGAAGTGTTGTATATTACATCACTTCCGCATTCTCGTGTCACTCTCCAGCTTCAGATGCTGGAGAGAAGCTGATGAAGCAGATCTCTGCTTCATCAGCTTCTTCAGTGGGGTCCTAGGTGACATTAGGGGTCTTGGAGATTTTGCGAGTGCGCGTAATTTTTACGCTTGACATGTTTGGTGTCTATTTACCCGACGTGACCCTGTCTTTTATATTTTACCAAAAAAGTGGGTAATATTAGTTGTTTTATAACATAATGTAAAAAAAAAACTTTTTTTTCTCAAAATTTTCAGTAATTTCTCCTGAATATAGTAAAAAATAAAACCCGCAGTGGTGATTAAATACCACCAAAAGAAAGCTCTATCTATCCCCAAAAAATGGTATAAAATTCATTTTCAGTACAGCGTTGCATGACGGAATAAATGTCAGTCAAAGTACTGCAGCGCTGAATACTGAAAAATGGCCTGGCCAGGAAGGGGGTATAAACACCTGGTCTTCAAGCGGTTAAAAATCCGAAGAAACCTGTTGTTGAAAATGTAATTAGCAATTTTGCAGAAAGTTTAAGTTATCTTTTTTTTTGGGACAGGTTAATTTTTTCCCCGTTTCATGTCTATATTTTAGTGCACGGCATGCCTTGGAGAAGGAGTACAGACATTCTTGTCAGATAATTGTGACTGAGGATAGTTACTTTATAAGCTATGACACGCGCTTCCAGAAAAATCATCATAAATAGCGTCTGTCCCGGAAAACCACAAAGCTAACACATGTTCTCATTATTGTGTCCTGTGCTGAGGGAGCGATGTTTGTTAGTTCAGTACTCTGTGTGTAGACAACTAGGCGATGAGGAAGCTGGAGAACAACCACAGAGCACATGACACACTAAACTCGTATTTCTAGCTTCCAGCTGACTTCAGCAAACAGAAATACTTAGTCAACAGCACTGCTAAGTCACATGACCGTAATGGAGGGTTACTACTATATAATGTATTTCTACCCTGACGGTCTGTTATGTGTTCAATCAAAGGCTTAGTTACAAACAACAAGATCTAGTAGTAGTAGTAGAGTATTGTACCGTGTAGGGATGCACCGATACCGATACAAGCATCGGTATCAGCGGCGATACCGAGTATTTGCATGAGTACTCGTACTAATACTCCGATACAAAAAACGAGTACCTGTGCCGCGTCCGCCATCTTCAGGGACCTGAATCCGCCGCACACAGGCCCTCCATCGCGTCTTCAATGAAGCAAGATGGCCGCGAACTCCTCCTCAAAGTCCTCAGTCATCTGCTCCATTCTGACCTCTTCTCCCGCTGATTGGCCGATTGGATGATTGACCGGCTTCCTCACCAGTCAGGAGTGACTGGTGAGGAAGCCTGTCATCATCCAATCAGCATCCCTAGTACCGTGTTATCCATCAATTAGTGCAGAGCGTTCAGAACTTAAAGTGAAACTAAACTAAAGTTAGGTTCATAGGCGTCACTACAGGGGGGCTGGTGAGGAAATGGAAAATTGGGAGATATGTCCTGTTTCGCAGCGCACCGTTCCTGCAAGAGACACCCACGTTGGACCCTTTCTCCCATCTACCATCAGCGTGACTTGTCTTCACGCCAGCTCATCTCATAATGAAATTAATATTTATCATGCAATTGCTAACTAAGGCTTGTATCCCCATAGTGGGGAAAATAGATGATCACATGTCCAGACTCTAGTGTGACACAGCTGTAACCAATTCTGCATACCTGGCTATATATTATAAAGTTCTTATAATATATAGCCAGGTATGCATAATTGGCTATAGCTGTGCCAAACTACAGAGTGTTCATGTTCTTCATAATATTAAGAAACTAACCTAAAATCATGATTTTGTATTGCTTTAGAAAAAATGTGACTTGTCCCTTTAAGAAAAAGTATCGGTAATTGGTATCGGCGAGTACCCGGAAAAAAGTATCAGTACTCGTACTCGGCCTTAAAAAAGTGGTATCGGTGCATCCCTAGTACCGTGTTATCCATCAATTAGTGCAGAGCGTTCAGAACTTAAAGTGAAACTAAACTAAAGTTAGGTTCATAGGCGTCACTACAGGGGGGCTGGTGAGGAAATGGAAAATTGGGAGATATGTCCTGTTTCGCAGCGCACCGTTCCTGCAAGAGACACCCACGTTGGACCCTTTCTCCCATCTACCATCAGCGTGACTTGTCTTCACGCCAGCTCATCTCATAATGAAATTAATATTTATCATGCAATTGCTAACTAAGGCTTGTATCCCCATAGTGGGGAAAATAGATGATCACATGTCCAGACTCTAGTGTGACACAGCTGTAACCAATTCTGCATACCTGGCTATATATTATAAAGTTCTTATAATATATAGCCAGGTATGCATAATTGGCTATAGCTGTGCCAAACTACTGAGTGTTCATGTTTTTCATAATATTAAGAAACTGACCTAAAGTCATGATTTTGTATTGCTTTAGAAAAAATGTGACTTGTCCCTTTAACCTCTTGCCGTCTGCCCGTTAAGAAAAAACGGACGGACGGCTGACTCCTATCTGCGGGTTGCCGTCGCCAGACGGCATTTTTTTCCTGCTCGCGCGCGCCCCCTAGCGCGCGCGCACGGGCAGGAAAGACTCGCTTGTTACTACAGCCGTTAACGGCTGTTTCACATACAACCGATCAGCGGCTCTATAGCTGCCGATCGGTTGTATGGCGTGAATTGTGGAGGCCCCCCCCCCGCGCGATCGTGGGTGCCGCCATCTCCCCCCTCCTGACCCCTCACCTTTAATCCCGGGATCCGCTGCCCCATTTAATCCCGGGACCGGCTCGGGAGGGCGTCAGGAGGAGGAGGGAGGGAGATCAGCTCCTTGCTGTTCTCCCTCCGTAGTGTGAATGCAGAAGTGATGTGTATTACATCACTTCCGCATTCACCTGTCAGTCATCTGGCTCCTATGCCAGATAGAAGAAGCTGATGAAGCAAATCTGTGCTTCATCAGCTTCTTTTGGGGTCTCCAGGTGA